GCGGGGGGGCACGGGCGGGGTGGGGGGCCCCCCCCCCCAGTGCACAAATTTTTGTGCACTGGGCCTCTAGTATTATATAAAAGGATGATAAAAGAAAACACCAAATAAAACTTCTTAAATAGTTTAGGAATGCTAAAAAATAAAGTAAGAATTTTTTTTTCGCTTATTAAAATTGCATAGCGAGAGCTTTTCTCATGCTTGGTTCTATTCCATTTCTCTCTAAATGTATATTCTTGTGATTACATTGACATTTTCCTCCTTTTCATTATAGACAGTCATTCCAAAGCAAACCCAAATGTTAAAAGCAATCTTCAAAAAAGCAGTCACAGAAAAGTGAGAATTACATTTTATTTCACATTAATAGAAACAGTGGAAAAATTTATTTTTCCCACATTACAGCACATTTCAACGGAATAGCTCTTACTATAAATCATATCTTGCTGATCTGTATAACTGAAACAAATTTATATTTTTCAAGGTAAATCAAAATGACTTATTAAATGATTGTTTAAAAATTTTAAATCCAGACATAAACGTATGGCTTCATTATTAACATTCTACATAGTCCATTACTAAATTATAATAAAGGTGCATTCCTAACATTGTTTTAGTCAGTTGGAATACAGAAGAAAAATGATAACAGTTCAGAAATACGAAGCGTATATTTTTGTTACACATTAAACTGTGTGGTAACCATATGCATTGAGTTCTGACTAACCTTCATTGCCGATAAATTTGTTTTCAAATAGTTTTTACCAATAATCTAAAAATTCCAACTATTTAAAATCAAGTAATTGCTACTTTTATATTTGCACAAAGGTTTTTTTAAAATCATCTGATTAAAGTGAAAATTTCAAATAAATTCATTGGCAGATGAAAGTAAAGCAAATTTTTCTAATGGACTGTTCATTTCCTACAGTAGCTGACTTCAAACATATGTACAAAATATGCAAACTAAAATTCTCTGCTACAAGGAGAATCATCTTAGAGCAAATCATCTTAGAAATACAGTTTTTAAGATCGGTCTTAATCTTCCAGAACATACTGGACTATGACCTAATAATTATTTGGGTTAATTACAGAAAAATACAACCACAGAATTATTCCTTACCTAGACTGAAGATTCTATTAACTATATAGGTCTAACTTTGGACTAGGTAGTTTAAAAAATAAGTAATGTAGGAAGTCTGAAGTGATGTTTGGTTTCTTTATACAAGTGTAAATACATTTTAAATACCATCATGTTTGTGATTCAGAATGTCAAATTACAGCATATACTGACAGCAGATGTCTATGGCAAGGAGGCAACATTTGGTCTGTTATGAAGGATAAAAGGAATACATTTCTTTTCTAGAGAAGAACATAGAATATTAAGAAATTGTGCTCTGCCTGGGTAACTCAGTTGGTGAGAGCGTCGTCCCGATATGCCAAGGTTGTGGTTTCGATCCCATCAGGGCACATACAAGAATCAACCAATGAATGTATAAATAAATGGAACAACAAATCAATGTTTCTCTCTCTCTCTCTCTCTCTCTTTCTCCCTACCTCTCTCTCTCTAAATTCAATAAATAAATACAATTTTAAAGAAATTGTAATGGGGAAAGAAAACCCTGGTCCCCAAAATAAAAGGGCCATTCATTGAAGAGAGCAATGTTACTCTTTATTGACACTTAGAAGCAATATTCCTATTATTAGGAATAATGTAGTTACACCTCATTATTTTTAGGTATTATAATCATTAAGTATATCTGAATACAAATATAAAAAATACACATACTGCATGGTGACTAAGTAATTTTGGAATAAGTCCACAGACTAAGTCACAGCATTCATAAATAGTTTATATCTTAACTGCTCATTTATCCCCAAACAAGTTTTCATTAAGCAGACTAATAATTTTCAAATGATGTAATAGAAAAATCTGGATGTAGTATTTTATTATTTTGCCGAATTACATTTGGGGGGAAAGAAGTTAGCTGCTTCACCTATGCTAATGCTAGTATATTCTGGATCATGTTAACACAAATTCATGTATTGAAACCTTCAAGATCATAAATTTTCCACAAGCAGATATTATTTAGACTGTGTCATTGGTGTGTAATTGCAAAAGATTTTAACATTGCAAACATTATAACTTTCAAGATCCGGCACAGGAAGAGGTTTATACTCTACTACAACGATGCTGGTGTGTACTTCTACACAAAGGCGCCTTAGTGATGTCAATCAACTGGAGGTAGGATTTTATCGATGAATTGCCTGATATCCACCATTTCCTGTTTGGAATAAAGTGATTTAATAAGCAGTTACACAAATCAGAAATTAAATCCCCACTGAAATACCACTAACTAAATCCATGGTGTGTGTACATAATGTGAAACAACATTTTTGCTACTACGATGAAATAAAAAGTTGTAACAGAGAAAGGAGGCTCCAATAGAAATTTCAGATCGTTTTCTCTGATTATTATTGTACATTCAATATGGCTCACATCTAGTATCTACTCCCATGAAAATGGACTGCATTTTGCTATACTTGAACAAATAAAACATGGGGGTGCGGAGGGATGAAGGGGGCTTAGAAGTGACAATAATGAGAAGTATTAAGAAGTATACAATGACTGCCAACTACATATACATGGAAGGCCTAGCTTTTAACATTCTCTCATGAGAATGAAATGCTAAATCCACAGCATAAAATATTTTTGGCCTTGCATCAGGATTTTGATATAATCAACCATTAGAAAGATAGCAAGCACCTAAGATAAGCCTGGAAAGATATGAAAATTAATATAACCAAATATTTATGACAGCAAAACCTTTCCTAAAAGACCCCTGCATCTGTCTCACAGTTGTCTCACTTCCCCCAAACACATTTCATTTCCTCCAATCAACTCTAGTATTTCAAGGCTTAGCCCCCACAAGTCAGCAATGCAGAGAGCCTTCAACCTGATACTTTACTCAGAAAAAAAGCCACAGCACAAAAGTAATCTATTTTACAACACTCTAAAGTCCTTTAAAAGTTTCCTGTGACACCATCTCCTACTTTTCTACCTCTTCTCACTTTCTGCTCCTAATTATTCATCTAGTGTCCTCCAATGTGATGGCATAAAATATCATTTAAGGAGCTTTTATTTAAAAAAAAATCTCCATACAAACACAGATGCCCGAGTTCAACCCCAAACCCCCAATGTGCTGAATCAGAATCACTGCATTTGGAGTTTGGGGGTCTGTATGTTTATTAAGCTCTGGGGTCCTTGTGATACAAAGTGGTTGGAAAACCACTGCTCTAGACCCTCAGTCCCTTCTGGATGCTCAGAGTACCACCTCCCTTTCTGGATTCAATACTTCACAACAGTTCCTTTTTTTAATTTTTTATTGATTCTATAAAAACAAAAGGTTATTTTAAAAGAACTTCTAGAAAATTGTGGGTATGACATCTGTTTGATAACTCTACAGAAAGTCTATAGACCCACAAGTACAAAAGCAAGGAACCACTATGACAGTTTCAACTATGTCCTTAATAATACCCTAGCATCTCAGGCCCCTTGTCTTTCTGGATAAATCATATTACTACCTGCTGTCTCTGCCCTAAAGCAAATGATTTAGCCAGGTTGAGCAGTTAGTTGCAAAACCATGGTAACATAAACTGCCTCAATGTTTAGCCGCCAATTTTTAGTGTAGGCTTCCCTAAGCCTCTAAATCTATCCAGGCCTCCTTCGTTCTCATTAAGTGACCACATCTCCCCTACTTTACTGAAAAGATTGAGAGGATCTAATGTGAGCTTGCAACTACTTTCTACCATACTTCAACAATCCATTCATGTTCATCCATCCTCTTCTATCTTGATTCCAAAGTGTTTTTCTCCTCTTTTAAGGCAACCACTACCCATTTCAGGACTTAATTATAAATTATATCATCCCTCTAAGACTTCCCACTACCAGTTATCGTCTCTTTATGGCATCTTCTCCCTCTTTCCTCCCAACCTATCAGGGTCTCTTTCTCCCATCCTGTTAAATAAAGAAACTTTCTACTCTTTTCCCATTTTACCAAAACCTTTTTTTAACAAGGTTTATACAGGTTGCCTCTACTTCCTCATTTCCCTACTTTCTATTGCAGTTTGGCTCTATCTCCCCAAACATCTGAGGTGCCTTCTTACTGGATAGTTTCTTCCTGGCCTATTTCTCCTTAATCAGTCTCTGAATCATCAGTTACTGTTCCCACCCACTCAGAAATTCTCTCTTCCTGTACTCTCACTCAACACTTAACTCCTTTGAACTCCCCCAAAGTTCTATCCCTTGGATTTTTTTCTCATGATATCCCTGTGATTCTTCATTGATCAATAATATTGATAATTATTCTAAACCTCGATTAAAGGCTTGAGCTTCAGACAAGTATTTCCAATATCCCATCCTGATATACTGTAATGGGAGCACACCAATTCCCTTATGGTCATTAAACTCAGTAAGTATATCTCCTTCCTGTTACCCTAAAACTGTTCCTTGTACTACATACTTTATGAGTCGCATCATCTTAATCTGAGCTAGAAATATAAGGCCTCATTGATACTTTCCTATTCCATAGAATTAATCACACCCTAAAACTGTTCCTTGTACTACATACTTTATGAGTGGCATCATCTTAATCATCTGAGCTAGAAATATAAGGCCTCATTGATCCTTTCCTATTCCATAGAATTAATCAGTAAATCCTAGCGGATTCTGCTTCACTTGTTTCCAGAATATACATTACATCTTGCTTTGATTTAAAAAAAAAAAAAAAAGTCAATGGCTTTCTGCTGTTTAGAGAACAAGTCCATTCTCAACACAGCATAAAAGCTCTGTACAATCGAATCTTTCCTCTCTGTCTCTATTCTATGACACCTAGCTTTTCATAAGACTACAGCCTAATGGGACAGCTTGCTTCTCCTGTCCTACAGTCCTTTCTCTGCACACTTACTATCTAAATCCTACCCTGTGTTCAAAATCTAGCTCTTTCATCATGATCCAGTGTCTCCTAAGATAAAATTAATCTCACTCTCCTCAGTTTTCCAAGTAACTTTTTAAAACTTCCAATAGAACACATATCACATCTGTTTTCTATACAGTTACTTGGATATATATCCTCCCCATATCCTTCTCCCCTGTTAAATTTTTAATGTTAATGAATCCTGTCTAAATTGTAATAAAAGGAAATGGGTTTTTTTGGTCTTAAAATTATGTACAATGCTTGCATGTAATAGGAAATCAGTGAATGTTTGTTGAATTAAATTGAAGAAGCTTTAATCTAAGTCCTACTAACCTATGACTCAGAGTGAATTCATTAACTCCTTTAAAGCCCCAAATGGTCAAATATTATTTATCTTGAAATATCACATGGAAAAAGAAGCAAATTACGTCTCTATAATCACTGTTTCCAAACATTTACCTGTGGACATGAACTATGCATCATGCCTTCATAGACTTTGAAGGTTACATTGGCTGGATTTACCAATGTTTTTAGCTTTTCAGCAGTAAGAGAACCAAACATTAGAGGAACTAAAGGATCAGAATCTCCATGGCACTGAAGAATAGAAATATCTCTATTAACACCACTGATAGGACCCTGCAAAAACAACAAAACAAAATAAAACTAGTATTATTTATTCAAATATATAGAACATTAAGCCAGGCATTTAAAACTATAGATATGTGCATACAACTTGTTATTACTTATTTTATAGGTTATATTTGACCATAGAAATAAAATTCCTGCCATCCTTATAATCTCCACATATTTTTATTTAAACTGTTATAGGACATATGGATTACCCTGTCATATATTTTATGTTTTCCCAATAAATTGGTTCCTTGAAGCAGATTCTATTCTTTATCTGTTCACACTGTCCTGACATGAGAGGTATGTTTTAGCTGACCCATGTTGTTCTCAGTTCTTATTGAATTGACTTAAGTAAGATAGTTAAGCCCTGGCCAGGTAGCTCAGTTGGTTAGAGCATCATCCCAATAAGCCAAGATTGCCAAATGGATCCCAGGTCAGAGCACACACAAGAATCAACCAATGAACACATAAGTAAGTAGAACAACAAATCATTGTTTCTTTCTCTCTTTCTCTCCTTCCCTTCCAATAAATAAATAAAATAAACAAACAAAGTTAATAAATAGCACTTACTATGTAACCAAAGAGATACTACAGAATGACAAGAAAAAACCCTAGATTTAAAGACAAATTTGAAAATAAAGTCTATACCTCTCATGTATACTATATACTGCTCTACCTTGTTGGGTATTTAGAAATTATATTTTATTTTGCAAAATCTGCTATCAGCATACTGAACATTCAAAAATATTTCTATATATAAAAAATAGCCCTAATTTTTATATATCTTAAAATGTATCAACCTCTTTAAATATAAGATTTATGACAACAGGACTTATTTCTTATTCCATTCTATGTAATCTACAATGAAGACAATGTAGTGAACTCATAAAGCCTAGTAATACATCACAAAAGTCTAAGAAAATTCTGCCTGGCCAGCATGGCTCAGCGGTTGAACATTGACCTATGAACCAGGAGGTCACAGTTTGATTCCCAGTCAGGGCACATGCCCAGGTTGCAGCTCAATCCCCAGTAGGGGGCGAGCAGGAGGCAGTTGATCAAGTATTCTCCCTCATCATTGATGTTTCTATCTCTCTCCCTCTCCCTTCCTCTCTGAAATCAATAAAAAAAATATATTACTAAAAGTTTTACAAAATTCTTTTTTAAAAAGTATGATAATATAAACTCTATGTTTTGAGTGATGATGTATCAATGTAGGTTCATTGATTGTAATCAATGTGTCACAGTGCTGCAGAATGTCAACAGTGGGGGGAGAGGCTGTGCATGTATAGAGACAGTGGGTATGTGGGAACTTTCTGTACTTTCCACTTGGTTTTTCTGTGAACCTAACACTGCTCTAAAAAAATAAAGTTTATTTAAAAAATGACCCTCTCCCCAACGCTATCTGCTGTCTCTTAGCTCAGTAATGTAATGTGGCATGACGCAATCAGACTACCTGTGGAAATGAAGACCGAAGTGGAAGCCAGCAACTGAGCGCAGTGACACCTGCCAGTTTCTGCTGTGTGGTCAGCGCAGTGTATAAAGATAAAGCTCCTCCCTAGAAAGACAAGCAGGGAGAGTCAATGGAACAACACATCCTTTGTTAACAGCAACCTAAGAAGTTTCTTGTTATTAATAATGTCCATCAAAAAATCACACTGGGTGGCTGATGTCAAATCAAATCAGGCAAACAAGTAGAAATACATGCACACCCCACTGTGTCCTAAAGCACATGATTCTCTACACTGAAGACCACTGTGAGAACTTAGCAACCACCCAGTCAGTCAAGACACAGTTAATCCGAGTTAACTGCTGCACTACAACCGCCTTAGAAGCATTATAGATTCATAGTTACTATTTTCTCCTCTGAAAAGTCTTCGTATAAAATCAAAACTCGTCTTAAACTGGTATTATTTTCCAAAACAGTAATTCAAGATAATGAAGACTATGTAGCAGACACCTTTAGAGTATGCCTACCCAGCTCACACCACCCTGCATCCTGGGAACTGCATACTCATCAGTGATCTAGATGCCATGTCACTGGCCACGCCCACAAGTCACTAGGCCACATGAAAACGTGAGATCCTTTCTCATCTGAGGTATTTATGTTCCTTCTCCCAAGATTCTGAAATTGGGACTCAGTGACTGTCAGTCTGTTTCTTTGTGTGGCTGGAATTGAAATATGCAAACTCAAAAACTCCACAGTAATTGCAGGAGAATCTGCAGGGCTCAACCAATGGGAATCTGTGACAAAAAGAGGGAAGAAATTCTCTTGTCTTCTACCTTACTGTTCCTATCAGTAGTCTCTCCTCCTAGACATGGGCTTTATACCTCTATTTAGAGTTTTGTTTAAAGAGCTATAGAGTGTTAACATTTCAGATTCCAATCAATTTACTTAATAAATCTATTTTCAAGACATACTCTATACCAGCGGTTGCCAACCTTTCAGACCTCACGGACCACCAGTGGTCCACAAACCGCTGCATACAGTAAAGCTGCTGAAAAGAGAAAACTAGAAAAGCAAAAGAGTATAAGTATTCTCTCAATTAATAGTTATTTCTAATCCATTTGAACTTAATCCAGCATTAAAGGTAAGTAGTATATCAGTTTCCATAACATCTTCTAAAAAGAGGAGATCTTATAGAAAAGGATTGAAGCCACTGACTTCTAGATAAATATACTGATGGTACTGACATACCACCCAAACTTTATCTTACCTGAGAAAATCCTCCCAAAATAATTCTGTCTGAAGGAATGCCATTCTTCACCTCTTGGTCTATCAAAGTTTTTACTAAAAACAACATGAAAGTGACATTACTAATACTTTCAAAGTTAAGGTCATTGATACAATTTAAATAGAAAAAATATTTAATGACAGTAAAATACAAAGTATATTAAAGGTCAAAACAAGTGAAAAACTTGAAGCATTCTATTAAAATAGAAAATTAGAATGCATTTTCATGATAAAACTCAGATTTTGCATGTGGTGCTTACACTTCAATTGTTTCTTATTACATAATTTGTAAAACAGTTATTTCATCAATATATGAATATTCTTTTATGCATGGCCAATTCTGCTCAAATACATTTTATATTTCTCTCTTCAAGGGACCATAGGCATTTGTACCTAAAAGTTATAATTTAAAATTATAAACCAGCAGATTGCATGGTTTGTGATTTACAGTGTTTAAACAGTTCATTCTATTATTTTTTTAAAAGCACAGTATTATATTTTCCTATAGCCAGTAAAAGAAACAAATGAGTTATTTTCTTTCTGCAAAATACATTTGTGTTGGCACACATCAGTAAATATATGACTTGATACCTCCTCAAATGTCCATTTCTTTATAATCAGTCCTGAATTTTGGGAATAACTGCACCTTTAACAAATTTATTTTCTTTCATTTTTTATGTATATGTAAGACTTTAATTTTTTAAGACTAAAATTTCCACCTTTACATTTCCTTTTTATTTAAAAAACACACAAAAATATGCTTTTATTACATCACTGCAAAAACCCAAATGCCCAAATTAAAAGTTATTTTGTTTTTGTATATATTTTAGTTCTTCATTAGAATTAGTATGAAAAGCTAGAGGTACCTTGACTAGGACCTGGGAGAATGGGCTAGAGAACAATTAAGAAGATTTAAGGAGTGAAAGAACTGTGGAAAAGTCTGAGGGATTTACTTAGGGGAGACTGCACAGCCTCTGACAGATGCACAAGTGGCAGAAACAGCCCATGTGTGAGGCGGGAAGGCTGTGGTTGGGGCTTGGTGAATGTTAGCTGCTAGCTAGTCAGGTGCTGTTGGGAGTATTCTCCCTCAGTTTCACAAAGCTTTACATGCCATGGGTACACCAACTGCTGAGATAAAGTTAACAAACTCTAATGGCAGCAGTCGGTTGTGGAGTAGTGGGTTCTAATTTCTGCAGCAGGGCCAGAGAACCACTGTGCTCCCTGGACCTAACCTGAGCACTCTTCTTTATTCTGTAGCGCAGACTCTCAGCCCTCAACTAGAGACTCCTTTCTTTTCCAGCTCTGAGCCTGAGCCTAATGCTCTCCAATATTACATTACCTCGGAGAGGAAAGAAATCTCAAGTATGTCCTAGGCCAATCCTATCACGGGGACAGAATGTTTTCCCCTCTGGACTCACCAGGCCCACCTGTTTTCACAAAGCCCAGCTCCCATCTTCCACAGGGTCTCACAACTCATTCCCATACCCAACACATGTTTTTGTCATCTATTATTTTCTGACAAATACCTAGCTATAGGATTATAGCTTTTATATTTTTTTCTTTCTTTTTAAAACCTTACCCGAGGATATTTTTTCCATTGATCTTAATTTTTTTTAAATATATTTTTATTGATTTCCGAGAGGAAGGGAGAGGGAGAGATAGAAACAACAATGATGAGAGGGAATCATTGATCGGCTGCCTCCTGCACTCCCCACACTGGGGATCGCGCCCGCAATCCAGGCATGTTCCCTGACAGAGAATCAACTGTGACCTCCTGGTTCATGAGTTGATGCTCAACTACTGAGCCACACTAGCTGGGCAGTCTGTGTTCTTTATGCTTTCACAAAAAAATAAGCAAAATTAAGACATTCATAAGGCAGCATGGAATACTAACCAGAGAACAGACTTTGGAGATTCTATAAAGTAGAGCTAACGCTTATTTCATAGGAATGTTAAATGAGATGATTTATAAGAATTATCTAACTTTTTTAATATTACCACACTAAAATTAACCATTATTTAATTTTCACATCATTATATCATTATTTTCATCCTTATTTCAAGTCTCCTTAATGAAGATAACTGGCAACAGATATTAAACATTTTGTTATTTTCTCCATTTGATATGTAATCCAAAGCAAAATGAATTATCCAGCAGTTAAAGTGTAATAACTGCCATTCCTCCCTGTCCACCTCACCTTCACTGAGCATAGTTAAGTGAGTCCATGTGGCAAACAAGTTAGAGAGTGATCAGAAAGAAAGGAAACAGCACCACCTCCCAAGTTCACATAATTGTGTAATATTTCATCAACATCAATAAAATTATTGAGTCTACTAAAAAGTATAAGAATGCTTTGGTTTATAAAACTACTCTGTACTTACCATATTCTGCTGCATGTTTAATTCCAGGTTCATCCTCCTGTGAATCTGGTGAAAGCCCAATAATATCAAACCTGGAAAATAAGGCAAAATCTTAAAAGAGTATCTACCCATGGTAGGTATGTTTTACTAAACTCGTGGTAGTTGGGATAAAAAGGACTGGCAAACGTATTCTCTAGAACATGAAATTCAAAATGTCTTCAGAGGTGAAACAATTAAATGCATGACTGACATTCTATACGTTCCTTTCATCCCAACTAGATATGGATTCTAATGTTAAGTCACAGTGCTACATAATTTTAGGATAAGCATAACTAAGAGATAATCTAGTCCAATCTTGCACCCAAGCAGGAATCTCAACCCATACTCCTAAGAAGTTTGCAATAAATTTCAGCCACTCATTTCCTCTTCTATTGTATAAGTCAACCCCATGGAATAGAGCTACTTTATTATGTCATTCTTGCATGCACTACTCATACCTTTTGAACATAGTTATTTATACTGATCTTTATCCATACTCTGCAAAACTTTTTCATTACGTATTGTAGACACTTTAAAACAGAGACCAAGAGAAGCTTTCCTTTGGCCCTTTCTACTTCTCTATCAGATTATGTTCTTTTATTCTGGTCTCTAGAGACATTAGGTAGAAATTCTGGTTCTGGACAGGAATTTTGCCAGAGAGAGAAGATTTAAAAAACCAAAGGCCAAGGTAGGCAGGAACCTGTAAAAGTCACCAAGGAATCTAAAGTTCATAAAAAAGAAAGAGGAGGAATGGGTTAGAGATGGGTGGGAACAAGCAGGAGGACAGCAGACTAGAAGTCCTGATGAGGTCTAAGAAAAAATGGTGTGGAAACAGGGAAGCAAACTCAAGAGATGAGTAATTATTCTTAATATCAGGTTTGAATTAAGTGACTTCAGAGATGGCACAGTTCCAGGTGACAAGGCCCAAGGATGACTGTGGATGACCAACGGTGAGAGAAGAAAATGTTACTGTAGAAGAGAAGAGCCAAGGAAGTAAGTAACAAGCCAGTCAAGGTTGTGAACGAGTCATTTACATTGGATCCTGTAGTCACTCAAAAGATAAAATGGTGGCATGAAATACAGTGGAAAGGAGAATACTAATCGGGTGTCAAAATCATCATTTTTTCAAAGACCTGTGGCAGAAGTCTCAGAGAACTGCAGGAAACAAAATCAAAGTTTAGAAGTGGTTCAAAGAAATGAAGAACTGACTCTATCTACTTGCTACATGGGGAATAGCAAAAATATCTTCAGAGGGCCCAAGAGGAAATGGTTTCCTAAAAAAATTTATCAATCTTCCCCAAAAGGGAAGAAATAGAAGCGTAAAGAAGCCGTTGCTTAACCAGAGTAATTGCTACCTGGGGTCATTCAATGTTTGCTTACTGAAATCAACAGTTTGGTTACTGTTTATCAAGCAGTATTTCTATTCACCCAATTCTCTCCTGTTTCTCTACCTATTGGTGCAGTCTCTGAAGTTTACCCCTGAATCTAAAATATAAAAACTTAAATAATTAAATAAAGGTTGAATTTAAAGTGAATTATATAACTTTGCCACTTAAATTAGCTAATTAAACATTGCTGTACACAAAAGTACCTCTGATCAAGAAAACTAAATATAAATAAAAATTTCTTATTGAATAAGTAAGTTCTTACTTACCAAGAAGTCATGGCCATGTTCATATTTAATGTCACAGGCATAACTGGTCTACATGGAAAGAAAAAAAATAGCAAAATCAGAACAACTTAACAAAGCATAAAACCTCATAAAATTCCATCAATTAAAGATAATTACTTGAGGCTTATGTAAAACTGCTACGATTTTAACGTCTGAGGTGTTTCACTGCGTCCCCACCTGTACAGGTCGGTTTTGCATACTCTTCAAGTGTGTTCTGAACACATTGTATGCGGGAAACGTATTTATACGTTTTACGTTGACTGTAAGTAGTAGAGCCACCTGTTACTACCCGCAAACAATGTGTGAAAACAGAGCAGCAGCTGGAAAGATCTAAGTTTGACAAATAATAAAAGTTTTCCTTTCTCAACACCCTCACTTAGTACTTTCAAACCAAACATGAGAAGGAAAACCAGTAACCAGGACAGTTGGAAATGAATAAAATATGAAACTCTGGCTAAGGGGCTAAAGATAGGAGCAATCTGTTGAACAGGTAGACTCTAGTAACTAGGGCATCAATTCCCATATGCTCAGATTACATTTTTGCTTATTTTCTAGTTCTTAGCTATATATACCTGCTTGTTTAAGAGATCATTAAATAAGAGATATATAAGTTTTGCCTAAGTGTTCTTTACACCCAATTCAAGTTTGTGATGAAAAACTTGCTGGACAACCTGAATGTAACTAGGTACAAAAAAAAAAAGAAAAAGAAATACACTAGGACTACATCTCACCACGATTTTCCTGAGTCATGAAACAAGTATACCTTAGAGGTTATAAACTCTCAGGAAAATTTCTTTGAGAAATAACACTTTCCTAGGTTGGGAAACAGCCTTAAACCAAATTCAATTCTGGGGCCAGTAACAACATAGCAAAAATTCCAATATAATCAACAGTTCTGTTTCTTGGAAACCGGACTGTTTTCTTACCTAATCTCAGGTATATTTCCTCTTTCCATTTCCACTTTTATATTTATCACCTCAACTGCTACTACTACTTCTGAGGATGAATTACTAAGCTACTGGCATGTATATAATCCCATTTGTCTTCTTAGCAGCCTTTGATGTACAGACTTGCCCCACTGGTATGGCTCAGTGGTTGAGCTTCAACCCATTACCCAGGAGGTCACCGTTCCACTCCCGGTCAGGCACATGCCCAGATTATGGACTTGATCAACTCTGGAACCTAAGTATGTGCCCTGACCAGGAATAAAAAACGCAACCTTTTTGGTGTACAATGCTCTATCCAAGCCACCCCAGCCAGGCATTAATCTTTATTTTTTTACTATTTTTAAATTTTATTTTTCAATTATAGTTTACATTCAATTTTACTTTGTATTAAGTTCAGGTGTACTCTAATCATTATTTTTAAACTGAATATTTAAAAGATAAAAATTAATTATATTCAAATGCTTTTCTAGAAAAGTAAAGCTATTACAATTATTCCTCTCCAGATTCTGAATCACAAGCCTAAAGATTAAAAATACTTACGCATGTGGGCAGATATATTTGATATGTGATCTTCTGATACGTGCAAAGGCTTCTTCCCATCCATGCCTGGTAGAGAAATTATTTTAACAATGCCATTAGATATTGTTTTTGTTAATGCTCAGTAAACTCGTATCAGAATAGTATTATTAAAAAGTTTGTGAAAATAAATGTTGACCCCTTAAAATACCTTAAAAGTGTGGGCCATCAATGCTATTAAAATACCAGCACCAATCTAGAAACAGCCCAAAGACTATTGTTTCAACTTTATCTATGGATAAAGGTAATTTCTTGTGATGTCTGAAAAGAATTGTTTTCTTTCATGTATTTCCACAGGTCTTTAGAATTTACAAAATATATCTTTATCTCTTTATAACTTTATAATGTGCCTATCAAATTAGGCAAGGCATAATTCACATTTTATATTTTTAAAAAACCTCATAGGAGTAAAGTAAATCAGCTGTCTGGTATCTCTTTATGGTTACTACACTATTAAAAATAAACTTAATTAGCTTTGCAAATAGTATACTTGCATTTTAATGTACAAAAGAAGCAATATTATGCAGCAATGATAAATACCTGGTTTATGAGCTGCCACTACCAGATTCTGGTCCCAGACCAGAAATTTACCACACTTTGTGCCACTCTGAGACCTCTCAACATGGTACTCCAAGCATTTAAAATACAAAACCTATCTCTACCCCTGCAAAAGATAACAGTATAGCACATTATAAAATGTGCCATCCATGGTCACTGCCAATACTAATTTTATGTATGCTGTTTCAATTTCTCTTTTTTGTTTTTGTTTATTGTGTTTTCTATTTTAGGCTTGGTGCCAATCATTGGGGGGAACTAAATAAGTCCTAAACATCATTTTATTATTTTAGCTCATTACAGCTTTGAAAATGTGTAGTCACTAAAAATAACACTTGTAAAACACAATTTCCCACCTGTTAAAGTCCAAACTGGAATAGTTTCAATTATGTACCTCAAAGCATTACTCCATATAATAAAAGCTTGACTTAACGAGGCTGACATCCTCACACATTTATATTTTATAAAGTAAAGCCACTTTAAAAGTTTATTAGGATGTAAAGACAAGTTAATGGTGACTACAGAAACAGAATAAAATAAAATTTTAAATTTTGTATGTTAATTTTAGAATTGTTCTTAAAACAGTAAAACCTCAGCTATTTTTTCCACACCAAAGGGTTCTTAAGGATGACTTTTTAAATACTCATGCCATTACGTAGCTCTCATATGTATATACACATACATTTGGCTAAAAATAAAAAAGCTAAAGTCCAGTGTGGTAAAGTACAAGAGCTTTAAGATATAGACTCTACAGTTCAAAGGTCTTCAGGTTTATTCACTAACTAGAAACCCAGTGCACAAAATTTCTGCCCTGGTAGGGTCCCTAGGGGCTGCTGGCCGGGGCCTCCCTTCATTCCGTACCACCCCCTGGTGGTCAGCTCACGTCATAGCGAGCGATCAAACTCCCAGTCAGTTGAACTCCCGAGGAGACACTTTGTATATTAGGGATATATACACACACACACACACACACACTAGAGGCCCAGTGCATGAACTTGTGCATGGGTGGGGTCCCTCGGCCTGACCAGTGATTGGGGCCGATTGGGCTGTCTCGCCCAGTCCCAATCAAGGCCACAGGAAGTTGGCTGGCAGGGGGAAGGGAGGGGGAGGGACCGCGCGAGGTTGGCTGGCCAAAGGAGGTTGGCTGGCCAAAGGAGGTTGGCTGTGGGAGCACAATGACCACCAGGGGGCAGGCAGCTCCTGTGTTGAGCATCTGTCCCCTGGTGATCAGTGTGCATCTTAGCGACTGGTTGACCAGTTGTTCCGGTAATGGTCACTTAGGCTTTTATATATACAGAATATCACCACAATCAATTTTAGAGCATTTTTATCACATAAAAAAAAACAAACTTGTACCCCTTAACAGTCACTCCCCTTTTGCTCCCCTAATCCCCCTGCTCTAGTAGTAGGCTGGAACAGTAGCACACTAATCTACTTTCTGTCTCTATACATTTGCCTCCTCTGGACATTTCATATAGATGGAATCATGCTTTGTGACTGGCTTTTTTCACTTAGCATATTGTTTTCATTCATCCGCATTGTAAGAGTACTTAATTACTTTTTATGGCCAAATAAAATCCTGTTGCATGGCTATACCATTATTTAACTATTCATCAGCTGATGGACATTTGGGTTGTTTATACTGTTTTACTATTATGACTATTGCTGAGGTGGACATTTGTGTACATGTTTTTGTGTAGATATGTTTTTAATTCTCTTGGGTATATATCTAGAAGTGGAATTTCTGGGTTGTGTGGTAACTTTGTTTCAGTTTGAGAAACTGTCAGAATGTTTTCCAAAGCAGTTTATATTCTCAAAAGCAGTATAAAAAGATACCAATTTCCCCATATCCTTGTCAACACTTGTTATTATCTGTCTTTTTTATTACAGACATCCTAGTAGGTGTGAAGAGGTAACTCATTGTGGGTCTTTTAAATTCATTTTTCTTATGTGATATAACTGACATATAGCATTGTATTAACCTTAAGTGTACAACACAAATTATTTGATATATGTATATATTGCAAAATGATTACCTCAATAAGTTTAGTTAACATCCATCAAAAACAAAGTTACACATTTTTCTTATAAGAACTTATGGTTTACTCTCTTAGCACCTTTCAAATGTATCATACAATATTGTTAATATATAGTCCATTACATCTCCAGGACTTTTTTATCTTATAACTGGAAGCTTGTATCTTTTGACTACCTTCTCCTATTTCACACATACCCCCAACAGCTGCCTGTGGCAACCACAATTCTGTTTCTTAGATTCCACATGTAAGTGAGATAATGTAGTATTTGTCTTTCCTGTCTTTTTCCAAATGGCAGGATTTCCCATGTTGTTCCAAATGGCAGGATTTCCTTCTTTTTACGGCAGAATAATATTCCATGTGTGTGCCATTTCTTTATTCCTTCATCCACTGATGGACAATCAAGTGGTTTCCATGTCTTGGTACAGAATAATATTCCATGTGTGTGCCATTTCTTTATTCCACTGATGGACAATCAGGTGGTTTCCATGTCTTGGTAATCCATATATATAAAAGCCTAAGCGACTGTTCAACCGTTCTACTGGTAACTATGACGCACACAGACCACCAGGGGGCAGACACTCAACACACAGTTAAGGAAACATGAAACAGACTGATGAATCTCAGAGGAAAGGGGGGAGGCAGAGGGCGGGAAGAAATTAACCAAAGATCTTATATGCATACTGTAGGCCCAATGCATGGATTCATCCACTGGTGGGGTCCCTCGGCCTGGCCTGCGGGGATCGGGCCAAATCTGTGCACTGGGCTTCCGACATCCCTCAAGGGGTCCCGGATTGTGAGAGGGCACAGGCCAGTATGCAAGGGTTCCCCTTTTCCATATCCTTACCAACACTTGTTGGTGGATTTGATTGGCATTGATAGGTGTGAGGTGATATCTCATTGCAGTTTTAATTTGCAATTCTCTGATGATTACTGACATTGATCTTTTCATATGTCTATTGGCCATATGTATGTTCTTTGGAGAAATACCATTCAGATCCTCTGCCCAATTTTTATTTGGATTGTTTTTTTAGTGTCGAGTTATATGAGTACTTTAGAAATTTTGGATATTAAACCCTTATTAGCTGTATCATTGGTGAATATCTTCTTCCATTTGGGAGGTTGTCTTTCTATTTTGTTGATTGTTGGCTGTGTAAAACCTTTTTAGTTTGATGTAGTCCCATTTTTTAAAAATTTCTTTTGCTTCCCTTGCCCTAGGTCAGCAAACTTGTGGCTCGGCAAACCGCAGCTCGTGAGCCACATGCAGCTCTTTGGCCCCTTGAGTGTGGCGGTATGTTGTGGAAGACCCACACTCAAGGGGCCAAAGAGCCGCATGTGGCTCGCAAGCCGCGGTTTGCCGACCACGGCCCTAGGTGATATATAAAAAACAATATTGCTAAGAGAAATGTCTGAGATTTTACTGCCTGTTTTCTTCTAGGAGTTTTATGGTATCAAGTCTTACATTTAAGTCTTTAATCCATTTTGAGTTTGTTCTTGTATAATAAATTCAACATGAATATCAAAATTTAGTGTAAAAAGGTGAACTAGTGTTTTTTTTTTCCTCATGTATCTGTCCAATTTTCCCAACACCATTTACTGAATAGACTGTCTTAACCCCCTGTATATTCTTGCCTCCTTTGTCAAATATTAATTGCCCATATAGGAATGGGCTTATTTCTGGGCTATTCTTTTTTTTTAAATATTTTTTATTGATTTTTTTTTTTTTTATAGAGAAGGGAGAGGGATAGAGTTAGAAACATCAATGAGAGAGATCATCAGCTACCTCCTGCACGCCCCCTACTGGGGATGTGCCCGCAACCAAGGTACATGCCCTTGACCGGAATCGAACCTGGGACCCTTCATTCCGCAGGCCGACGCTCTATCCACTGAGCCAAACCGGTTCGGCT